TCTTCAGCATTAAGCCGATGATATCTGTGACTTCGAAGCTGTACCAGTTCACAGCACGTCCGGTCCAGAAGGAAGAAGCTCACGTTGCTACAACAGGTAAACAAAACGAACTTATGCTACTACACAAACGTCTCGGACAGTGTATTACAGGCGATCTCTAAGAACCAAGCGCCCACCGGACTCGACGCATTAAGCGTATCTCGTCCAGATTCATTTTTCTGCTCTGTATAAGACGATAGCTTTTGGGGTCTTGCTGCAATGCATGCCGAGCCGTATTGTTCTGTTTAGTGTAATTGGTGAAACCCTGTGGTGTTTTTTGTGTTCTCTGGGGGTGTGGTTTTTTATCGGAGCGCCCGTGTCCTCTGCGTGGGGCGTGTGTGTGTGTCTGTTTTTGTTTTTTTCTGTGCGCTGTTGTGTTTTTTTTTTTGATGTTGTGGTGGCTGGTAGCTTGTTGTTGTTGGTTATTATGTTGTGGTGGTGCTTGTTGGTCTTGTTTTGTGCAGCAACGGCGTCCTCTTCTATTCGCGCATAGCTACAAATGGCTAGACCAACTGGCATCGCTAGCCGCTTAATTCTTTGGTTTGAATTTACTTGGTTCTTGTTTTTAGTGGTTGCCCAAGGTTACCACTTTTGCCCTTTTTTGCTTATTAGGGGTGCATATTCTACTAAGATGCTCTCTGAGTCGAAGTCGATGTTGAAATCACATCTCCAAAACATTATACCTGCAAAAACTAGTTCCTATCTGGATAGGGGGCTCATTTCCAAATAGGTCCGCTAGTGCTCAAGTCGACCGCAATAGGCCAAAACCGGTAAACCACACAGAATCAAGGTCTGACATACAGAAAATGTGATAACGCATACAATATGCGTGGGACACACCAATGTCACATCACACCACGCAATCTATACGTGTGCCACAATTGCATTTGGCCAAAACACACCAACCTCGGGTATCTACACACCAGTGAATTTTAGCGAATCACGGCCAAAGCTATGAAAGTCAGTGAGCCAATAACCGCCCTTTAGATCCTTTCTTAACAGCGAAGATTCTTCTTCATACCGTAAAACACTGAACGCTCGTACCAGATCACTTGTCCGAACAAGCGATGGCGGACATCTATGGTCACTATTTCGCGGATAGCCAAAAATGTCTATGACGAACAAGTGAAACGGAATCTAACAAAGTCGTCGGATGAAGAGCAGCTAATTTGGTTCCAAGGCTAGTTTGAACGAACGTGGGTGACAAGTTCATTTTGGCGTTGGCAACGCTTATATACCCACAGTGGATACGCCACAACAAACAACCCGGTGGAGCAGTTCAACCGTCTGATCAAGCGTGACTACACTCTCCGGGCCAAACATAAGATCGGGACACTGTTTCAGCAGCTGGCGGATTGTTGCGGACACGAGTCGGTAACTCTACGAATCTTCAAGGAATCCCCTGAAGTCACCTGCAGTTAAACTCAAGGGTTAAGGATATTCGCCACCAAGACCTTCTTGTGGACATGACTCCCGGCCGGTCCAGCATCGACTTCCTACTTGTTTCCCCAAACCAGACGAGATTCATGTGATGTCACGTGGCTGTGAGCGTATCTATCTTTCGGAACTCGGGGGCAGTCGCGAGGTAGCCCCGGTGTCGGCCAGATGGGAGTGAATTACGCGCGAATGGAGGTGTTTGGTCCGGGATGTAAATTTGAGTACGAATTCAAGCACTACTTCAAGTTTGCAATCTGCATTCACGTGTTTTTTTTTTGCTCTGCCGATGAAGAACTACACGGGACTGGATGGTACAATGACTCTAGTTAATAGTTCAACGTCTAAAAAACACCGCAGATCGGGTACCCCTAGTGCCCGAGTGCCCGCCGGCCGCCCACTGTCCAACCGACATGCGTTGAATACGGAGCGAAATCTGTTAGCCGTAAGGCTACAGTCGCTTCTCTACAAACAAAGAAACTTTCCCTTCGTGGCTATTTTTTTAAAGTTAATAATAGCATCACGTTCAACTTCAACTTTAACCTCAATTTAAACTACTCTTGGTTTGCTTTCATTCTCCAACTCACCTCGACGATGACAAGCCAACACGACAGACCACAAACGTACGCTGCCCCACCAACATCCTTTCTTGTCTTCTTCATATGGTGTCAAGCACACCTCCGCGCCCATAGTTAGGGGCGTCTTGATTAGGCTGCGGCCCGTTACTTGAGGTAATGGGTTCATGTTCAACGAGGTGATACCTCAAATACCGCACACGCAATCAAGCGGCTCCTCGATGCTGTGCCTAAAGCGCGCATCACCAAGGCCTGAGGCAGCTGCTTTAGGTGACGACGTGGGTGAGGCGGAAAGGGTCCTACCGACTGGAACCGACCTACCAGACGCGGACCATCCTCGCTGATCGCCGAATTAACGGTCGTGTCCAGTTCTTACCTCTTGGGAGCAGACATGGGAGCCGGCAGCTAATCTCCCTTCAAACAAAATACGTATATACCGTAGGCGCCAGTGGCACCGAGTAGAGTGTGCCTACGTTGGAGCGGAAGCAGCAGCAGATTAAACAAGTATCAGCAGGCTCATGATACATATATTTTTCCTTACATAATCAATTTTTTTTTCTTCCTCTCATGTAGAACTCTTTAAATTATCAACGCTAGCTACACACTACGGCATCCGCAAGAGCAGCACAGGGTTTCACGATTCAACATGCTCCGCACAAGCCAGTTTGCCGCCACCGGATCATATTAGAGCTCTGCATGTCTGAGTAGAACGTAGAGGTAGTCTGGATGCCGAGGTAGAGCGTAGCGGTAGCGTGCACGTCGGTAGCTGGGCCTTCACTGTGCGCCGTGCCAGGAATCACA